AGTTATTAAGCAGAATTTGAACTACAGAAGAGGGCTTGTTTCAACGCAGTAATCTGGCGCATGCAAAATCTGCCTAATTTCATTTTAAAAATCGAACTATAGGTGGCAAAATGTGGCTCTTTCTTCATCGTTTGTTACGCAATAAGCGGTTAATTTCTGTTTATTCAGAAATCAGGTGATCGAATGGACGTTCCTCTACTTCGCGTCCACTAAAAGCTAATCGACTCTTCCAATCGCGTCCGCAGTTGCAGCACCACGCATGTCAATTTTAGTGGTCTTCATTAGAAGCAAAGTCCGGCCGACAACAGACTCTGGAACACCATCAACACATCCACACAGACTCCTTCATCTCCAAGTACGTTCACAGATCTGACCATCAACTAGGGTCAGAGTCTTGTGATCGACGTTGTCACTAATCACATGCCATCTAGAGAATATCCCTAAGTGTAAAATGACTTTAGGCGCATTTAAGATGGGGAATTGTGGCGAAAAAGCCTACACAAGCTGGTGGTTTAGGCGCATTAATATGCCAAGGTGAGAATCGAAAATGGAGCGTTGCAGTGTCGCATATCTGCGCAGTTGAGCTGAGCTCGTCTTACACCGAAATTAGCACAATTATCGAAATTAGAACACAACGTGTGCGAAATACCAATGCAAAGTGGAGCGACTGGATGAAATTGTGGCTTGTGGGTTTTTCAATGTTGTGAATACTCAAACACACACACGCACACACTCAAACACACCCACATACCGTAGAGTTTGACAGGGCACACTGAAAGGGAGTTGTGTAAAGATTTAGAGTGATGAAACTACTAGAATTGCGTGCGTTAAATTAAATCTTGTGGATGAGTACAGCACGACACGTAAGGCTTTTGCGATTGGTCAACGGTGTGTTTTAATTAATCGATTAACGAAGGACACAGTCATTGGCTTACCTCGATTACGTAGGGTTCCTTGTTGGACGGTGCGCGGCACGTTGTGTCGGAGGTTAAAATAAGCGTCTTGCTCTTCTCTCCATCGGTAGTCAGAGAACCCAGCAACACTGTACAAGTGCCTACAATCGGTGTAGCTACCAGAAGTGACTGTCACTCACAAGCTAATCCAGGCACGGGGATTTGTGCTTCGTGGTTAATAAAACTTGTTTCCAATAGCACGACTGCCACATGACGGGTGGCTCTAAATAGGCTGCAATTAAAAACCACTAGGTTGTGAAAGTTTGTGTACGTTAGCACAGCTTAATTTAAATGTTTTTTTTGGGGGGTTTAAAACCACAAACGGAATGTGATTTTGCTTCGTGTAAGAGATTGATTTACATAGACTCATTGTGGCCTATGATTCAACTTTAGGTCAAATTTCCTTGGAAGAAAAATGTGCCTGACGACCTATATTAACTAGTGATGGGGAAAGTCAATTTATGGAAGACTGTTAAACTGTCCAAGCAAAATGATTGGCCAATGAGAGTAAATAGAAAGTGAATTGGGCAAACAATCAAATATCCCCTTACCGAGATTATCCGCAAGACAAAATACCACCTGACCATTCTCGTGGCACTTAATGAAACCTGACTCCCTATGCTTGGGGTCACCGTTAATGTAGGAAGTTGCCCTAAAACCGAGCCACCAATCAGCATTGATAGTGACTATGAATGAAAACACAAAATTAAAAGTACTGGCTTACGAGTATGCGAAATTTGGTTGACCAATGTTTTCGACGACGAGATCCTCCTCGTATTGGAAGGCAGGGCCGTGGGGGAGAATGCCCTTGCCCACTCCTCGCCACTCACCAATCATAAACGAGAGATCGCGCATCGATTCGTGAACTAGCAAATTAAGTCTTACAGGTCGGTTTCTACTTACCGTTATTCATCATCTAGAATTCGTTGTAATATTCACCTAAAAATTATTATCTTTTTAGGATTTGAGTGCTTCGAGTAAGAAGTAGTGCTGAATAAGTTGCAGGGGTTAAAGTCTCAGCTAGGAATATAGAAAGGTGAGTTAAATTACTTAACGGTATGATCAAGGCGCCAAACCTCCAGTTGCCGTGAAGAAAAAAAACTTAATTAACAACAAACAACATTGCGGCGGATTATCACTGTTCGCGCGTGACAAAGCCTGTTTACTGACCTGACCGACTCATCACTATGTCATTTGCTTTTGTTGTCGGTCATTTATAACCTGCTCACACATTCACTATGAAACTTACACTCAGAATTAATCTCGATTCGCTTTTCTTTTTGATGGTTTTTTGCGTAAAACACTAAAAACTTATCATGAGAAATGAAATCTAAGATGCAATGTAAAATGATACTGTGAGCTTAAAGACGTAGCGTTCAATATAAGGTGAAAAGGCAAAGATGCTGGAAGAAACTACTCAATCAAGACGACATGGAAGCCTAGGCCTTTATTTTAAGCAGTCTCATTTTTTACTTTCGCCAAACTGTTCAGGTTACATGTCAAGTTTGCTATACGCAATACGTAATTTACTTGCAGTAACTTAAACAATAAAACTAGGTGGTTTGAAAGAAATACAGGACGCGTGATATAGTTGCATACTACAAAAAACCAGCAACAAAAGTACATAACATTCTTGCCTTAGGTTCAGTTGAGCAAAACACGGCAAATTTTCAACCTTAGTTATGAACATTATGCGAAGCGTACTTAAGTGACATTTTTGTATTCAGTGCCTGTACACTTACCCGCAATAATTAAAAAAATTAACCTAATTGTTGCAGGGTAAACAATATGTCAAAGCGAGCTAAAATACACACTGTATGAAATCGCCTCACATTCTAAAATTTAAAGGACATCCTGCATGTGTTTTAAGAAAATATCACACACTCATGCTGCTAAATACAAAACCAATTACACTTAAACCAATAAACAACACCACAATAGTCAAAATTATCAAAAACCATGAATAAAAGCAACAAAACCCTTACTCGATACGAAACCTGATACTTGATTTTAGAGTCACCGCGACGACCTTGAGCAAAGACTGCTATTTGTAACGAAGGGTTTTAACAAAGACATTAAGCAAAACTTCTAAACTTTTTAGTCACGTTAAAATTTTAAAGTAAATTGAAAATTATATTTAGAAAAATTTTATATGTAATTGACAACTAAGATTACTAATTTTAATCTAAAAGTCCTTATTAATAAGAATATTAATAGCATTTTCTAAATGAATTTAGTGTTACAATTGAGAAAATGATATTTTTTTTAAAAACAGTTCTACTTGTGAACTTGATTCAAAACGCAGTTAGTTCGCCTTAACCAATCACATATTAGCGGTTACGTATCATTGGGTGCGTTGGGCCTTCTGCGTGGTCATTTTGTCTGTATGGATACGTATAGCTCACCTTGGGGCGGACAGCCTGTTGGATCCCAGGCAGGAAACTTTTTTGTTCCTTCAGGTGGTCCCCAAAATGTTTACTCTCAGCAGTCTTATGTTCTCGGCAGTTCTGGTGCTGGGAGTTACCAGCCTCAACCTACCACTCAGCTTAATTCCACCGAGGCACAATATTTTGTCGGTCAGTTTCCGCAAAACATTGCCATGCAGTACGGCACAGAAGCCATAGGTCAGGGGAAACAAATTGTTCAGGAGAAGGTATGTGGGCACTTAATTGTTACGCCGTAGGTAGAAAAATACTTACTGATCTCCAAGTTGAAGCACTATTTTGCCGTTGATAATGGATATGTAGCTAAAAAACTTGGACTGCTCTTGTGTCCCTTTTTTCACACTGTAAGTTTTGATTTGGTTCGCGTTTTAAATTTGTCGACTTTGATTTCGGTTCCCCATTTTCTGAATTCCCGTCGGCTCCCTCATTTGAGCAACTCTAGTTAATCACAAATACCCTCGAAGGGAGTATTAGTAAACACAGATCATTTTTAGAAATGGGATCTGCAATACGATTCCTCCGGCGTGGTGCCGCCAAGAGCCGACATTAACTCACCCGACCTCTACATACCATCAATGGCCTTCATCACGTACGTGATCGTGGCGGGCATCTCTCTCGGTATTAATGGTCGTTTTGCGCCAGACCTGCTCGGAATTCTCTCCACCCAGTCGTTCGGCTGGCTCGTCCTTGAGGTTTGCGTTCTCACCTTTGCCCTGTACCTCCTCAATATTCAATCAAGCCTGAGCTACTTAGACCTCCTTGCATACGGTGGCTATAAATTTGTACAGTAAGTCGCGTTTTTATGCACAATGCATTTGTTGACCGGCTCCTTGACCCACGCTCCTCTAGGTATCTTCTGGTCTTTAAAAAAGCCTGCAGAAACGTAAAATGCACTTTCAAGTTGGTCTCCAACTAAAACGTAGACGTTTTGATACAATGGCTACGCTGTTTCGTGGAGTTTACTTGTTTTTTAATCTTTTTTAAGCAACACTGACACTTCTGCCATGTTTTACGTCTTTCATTGCTGTCCTATCTTTGGCGCTGTTCGATGTTGTGCACTATTTGCACGCACGTTTTTAATTTTCTTTCAGCATGATTGTCGTGGTGTCGGCGTCGTTGATTTTTGCCAGTCCTGGCTACTGCTTCGCTCTTGTGTGGACGGGCCTTGCTTTTGCATTTTTCCAGGTACATTTCTGCCATCTTTGAGGTGCATTTTAAATACTTAAACCCACTTAATTAAACCACTCGTCATTACGAAAGTGTGGGGGATTTTCCGCCGCGACAAAATCATTATTTATCCATCCAGATCACCTTATGAGTTAGAGCTGTCTAAGTGTACTTGTCAATTCATTCCAACACGTCTAGTGTGTTGCTTCTACGCTTCCACCTACATTTTGTAGATCCGCTCCCTGAAACTCCAAGTTCTACCGCAAGCAGACCGTCAGTCGTCGTTGAACCCTCGTCGCGGTGTCTACCTGCTTGTGTGTACAGCCCTCTTCCAACCGCTCATCATCTGGTGGCTGACCAGCTCGGTTGTCGGTTCTGGTGCTGCGCCGCCGAATTCTGTGCCTGCCCCGTAAACCCCCACTACTCTGCTCCGACAGCACCCAGAACTCCGCCTTTCTCTCTTACTTCTCCATATATATATCATCTGTGTTGGCTTTTTAGTAGCAATTTTGATGGGAGAAATTTCCGAGTTGGCTTTTCGCCTATTCCCGTGGAAAAAGCGGTCCACCATTTACGCCTGTCAATTAGCTGGTACTATTAATTTGTCAGTAGGGTGTCACTTTAAATAATTCGGGATTGAGGCATTGTAAATTTTTACGTACGTGCCATTTTTTTAGATTTTGATCAGCTTACTCTGGATCGACAACTCCCGACATGGTCTGTTTTCGTTCCACTGCCAAACTGAACCAAAGTCAATACAATCAAGTTTAAATAAAGACAGAATGAGCCAATAGGGTGAGCGGTTGTGTTCGCTGCTGCTTGTCTAGTCTCTGTTCTCGAGTTGTTACGGGTGTTCATTTGACAGCATTGTAAGGTAGACCATTCAAAGCCCAACAGCGCTGTTATTAAATTATTAATTAAATCACAATCGTAGCAATGAAGAATCACCGTTGTTCTTAGCAATAAACCACCGCTGCACTGGTAACTATGGTTGAATCGGTTGCCAAGCACGCTGCCCAATCATGTAGCAGTGTTTTCAATTTAGGGTCATTTCAAGGTCACATCGTGTCCTTGAGGTCGTTGATGCTCGGTAAACACTGATGCGCGCTGACAAGGAAGTCCTTTCGTTTCATAACTTGTCATTTTAATTCACTTCTACCCACTGGAAGATACAATTTCACTAACTTCCGTTTTGAGCCATTAGCATTAGCGAATATTTGACCAACCAGGCAGTTCTACAAATGGTGTAAATCTTGTGGTGATATTGTAGTATGAGGGTGAAGTGGTTTGTGTGCAAAATACGGCGTCACCTCGCAACCAACTTTCAGTAATGTTACACTGCTTATTAACTGCCCTCGAAGACTCAATTTGACCTAATATCTGTCCGAAATCTTCATTTTTCCATCTATAATTATTAATTTAGTCGCCAAAATTGTCGTTTTTAATGAAGGTCATTACCCACAATTTCGTCTCAGTTACCGAAAAATGGATCATTTCGTTTAGTGCATGTTCGACCCAAAAAACCAGATATAGTTTGAGGGCTTTTAAGCGATTAGAAAATTTCAGTGAGATCGTCAGGGTTTGCAGACAGTGTAATGCGTCACCCCCTTCCACGGCAAATTCCCGATCGATACTCAAACAGACCTCGGACGCTTTTTATTGCCTGTAATTTTAATTGGATTTCCACTCGCCAAAATTGACTAAATTTAGCGGAAAGGAAAAAGCCAGTCTAATTAGCCCGATCGCGCCGTTGTCTTTATAAATTTTACCAAAAACCACCTCATAACAAATGGCAAGGGGTGCTCCCAAGGGATTTGAATTCAGGCACAGTCAACTCCGCTATTTAAATTCCCACGTTTCAGCAGCATCTGCTGAGCGATATGTGGTCCAGCGTTGTCGTGTTGATAATGTTGCCCGTTAAGCTTGGATTTCGATATTTAGTTGAGTGAGTTGATCACATAACTCCTTCGTATCTCATGTCAGACCACGTGGAAGACTAAAAACGAATACTGCTCATCGATCCAGACACCAGAAACTAGCCATCATCTCCATCAAATGCAGCAATTCAACCTCTTTTTCCATGCCTCCAACTTCTTTTTCAAACTCTTCCGCTACATAGCAACCGTTCGCTGTCTCCAGTTGTGACTGGAACCAACCAAGTTCGTTGTGTTGAAGGACGAGGCAGGAAACGGCAGTGGAACTACGCTCCAGTTTGTTCCACTTTGTCTGAACCCGTGGAACTCACACATCCAACTTTGGAATGCATTCAAATTGCTTAAAAAAAACAGAACAACGCAGTCGGATCGTCAAGATTACGTCTCGCAGTAATCTCTCCGGTGTTAATCCAGGGATTAAAATTGACAAATACATCGATAAAGCCATTACTATTGCCGGAGGGTCATTCAGAGCCACGTCTGTCGTGAAAATTAAAAAAATCATCATTTCGAAATTATCAAAAAAGTTCTTTAGTTGTCTGGTGAGCAGAAGGAGGAGTTAGACAAACGGTAGTTCAATTACCACCACCTCTTTTCATCAAATTCATGTTTTGTTACAGGAATTTGAACTCAGCTTGAAAAATATAGTTTATGCAGACGTTTTCTACGACCCTATTGGACGTCCCCACAAGGTCATGACCTTGTCTGTTGTACCACCCAATGTTACAAATCTAGTTCAAAGATTCTGGCATCAACTGCGCAGAAATAAGCGCACGAGCATTTGACAAAAACAAAATTTAAAGGACGCAAAATAAGTACACAAAAATGCATGCCAGGAAAACAAATATTTTGTGCTATTAATTTGGAAGTTTGCATGGTTCGTTTTCTCTCAACATGAGGGAAGCAATTACATTGCGTAATGTGATTTTTATGTGGTATTTTTAGTGAAAACTAGCATGTTATTTGTCTAAACAAACGGTGTATCCTTAAGAACTCACAGAATGGGCTGCAATCTCACTGATTGCTTCGGCGTGAACATCAACCAATGAAATCTGGGCATAAGTTTACATCACAAATTTGAAAGGTTCGCATCCAGCCGGAATTGGCGTGAGTCATCGCCATCGCAAATGTCCCACCGCCCTGTCAAAAATGCACGATTAGACCACCAGCCATTGGAGCAAATTGAAGTGCATCTCTGCCTCCACTCACGCTTCATTGGTAGTCAGGTTCAAGGTCATTCGACTTTAATTGCACTCTTCTCATTTTTTGGTCGAAATGGGATCTTCTTACAACGCAGAGGGATTAAAACTCAGGCAAGTAAAATCATGTGGTAGCGAACGTTATTCCCTATTCGTCAGTCCAAGTTCAGGCAGGATCTTTCTAAAGACGTTCCTGCGGTTAGATTGATTTTTTTTATTACTAACGATGTCGGTACAGCGAAGTTTACACTCAATGTACTGTGAACCAATCAGGTGAGAGCGCGCTTGATATGAAATATGTGCACGTAACTGCACATAAAAGCACGAGTATTTGTTCAATTCCGACTTCCGCACGAACGGCTTGGTGGAAATTGGATAAAAAAGCAAAATTTTGTAACCAGTTAGTGCTGAAAAATCCAGTTAAAGTATAAACATTTATTCATGCAAAACAAGCATTGCTGGATTGATTTTCACTGGTCTTCGTATACTCGCTCGCTTGATCTTGAAGAGGTCTATTTTACATACACACGTCAACTCGAGACATCAGATGTCTTGATTATTTGAAAATGCAAAATAGCTTTCAACACTGGTTTAAACACCGCCGAATCTGCTGTTGATCTGTGTCCGCCAAAGGAAAGCTGATAAATTTTTCCACATGTGGTGGATCTCGACGTGCAATAAAATGTCACACACGCGCACGTGAACAAAGGTCATGCAGCAAAAACCTCTGATCTTCTTCAGTGCTCTCTTCCACAAGCACTTGATCTAGTTTTTCATGAAGGATGTGTGTAGAAAACTTTTACTACACGATTCTTTCCAAAATTGAAACCAAGTTCGTGAATTCCTGAGGACATCAATCAGTGTCTGACTTGAGAATTTTCATCCGACAAGAAAACATTATTCTGTCGGGGTACCAACGCAGATAAACTGATTGGTCAATGAAAATCCGCTGCATACACTAAAATGTTTGCAATTTAAGTGGATTTAAGTTGAACTTTAGAGTACCCTTTCCTCTCCCGTTAATTCCAGATCAAATCGACAGCCAATGAGAGAACGAATCTCCTAAAATGGCTTGTATTTTGATCCGGAAATAAACACAGCAATTAGCTCTGGTGTCTGGATGATCGCTAAAGGTGACCTTCCAACATGATGAAGCAATTTACTGCTTCCGTTTCTAAATATTTAAACAACTTTTTGCCGTCTGAATTTGTCGAATTGAATAAAAAACCAGCTAGAATTTAAGATTGCGTTCCAATTACACCTGACTCAGCCACTGACACCTTTGCATGCGTAGATTTCCCTTCACGTGACCTTCGATTATCGATTTTTGCCTAATTTCCTGCCTGCGTTCGTTGATTTAGTCTGGCTAACCCAAATTTGTCTTCGTGATTCATTCAAACAACGGCATTCTCCCGATTTTTTTAAATTGTTTCCAAATTTCAAATTATTTAACTCTAATTTACTTTACGGTTTCCACGTATTACTGGGACAGAAAGGAAGTAATGTTGCCACTAATTTTTGTAAGAAAATTGTAAACATTTTACTGGATTTTTGGTGTCGACGAAGCTTCTTCAAATTTCGCATCTTGCGCAACCAAATAGTCACGGAAACGAAGCAAAGTTCTCTAAAAAAAAACCACGGATTTCTAAGTAATTAGCACTAAATTTCTGGAGCTTAATTAGAGAAATTGCGAGTGAAATGTCGTTCAAGTAGTAGACTTTTTGTGTTCTTAACGTTAATGGAATGGGAGGGCTAAAAATTGTCCCTTGTACCCAGATCGCAAAGATAAATTAATTAGTCAGTGTATCAGTGAGAAGTAAACTAAAAACTGAACACCTACACACTTAGGAGTTGTCTTCCTTTATTTTTTTCCTAAGCACACTTTAAATGCAAACGTTGCCATTAAACTTTTTATTGGACAGTTTTGATTCTAAATTTTCGTCTGGGTTGTGGTTTATAAAAAAACGTTAAATTAAACAAAATTGGGATCAAATTCGGGACTTCACCCTGGATGCTTCGATATCCACTTGGAGTTCATCGGCTACTGTTCACCAAATGATCGACTGTACACAATCTAATTGGTGTTCAGTTGAGCATTTAGAAATGTGTTTTAATTAACTTAAAATATGAGGTAACCGCGCCGGTTGAAGTGGGTTCCAGTCGATTAGGCTCGCTTGGGATGCTTTTTGTGATGTTGAAAGACCTTTCACAGGGCTTCAGGAAATTTCGACACCCAAAAGCTTTCAGGCCCAGAATTCTATCTGACTTTTAAATAAAAACAATGTACGTCTGAGGCTACTTGCGCTAGTGTCAAATGGATGCGAAACACGTTTTTAAACCATTTTTTTGCACTTCAGCGTGGATCAAACCCCATGCATTGCTGTTTAGCGCGATTTCAAAACTGCCCCTGATTCGATTTGGTTTTATCAACAAATTTTCGCGTTAACCGCCAACAAGTAGGTGTTTAGAAAAGATGTGTATTGGCATACAGGAAGGCAGTCCTTGTGGTGAAAACGCGCGTTCCTTCCACCGCATTCTAAACACAGCACTTTAGCACACTAAAACATTTATCGTTTTGACTCCAAATCTAACCATCTCCTGTGATCAAGACTAGCCCATTCCACTACCTTTACAAAAGTTATTCACCACGTGAATGAGGTTACTTCAGAGGCCCTTGGACCAACCCTCTATGGCGAGTTTTGATTGGCTAGAGACAATGTCAGAAGGTGTCAGAATTGGTAAATACATGGAGTCAATATTTTCGAATTCTGATGTTCGTTAAATACAGCAAAATATCATTTTTCAGTGCTGAATGCTCTACCCATTCAATGCCAAGTTTTCAAATTCCTCAAAATTGTTAAAAGTAGGATTTTCTCCGTTCCAGGAACGAAAATTGAATGAGGTGGGACGCCAACTCAGCTACACTCTACACCAAATTCGTCCTTCCCTTTATTTCAGTAGTATGAAACATAGGTGCGTAGGCATAAATATTTGTATATGTATATGTTTATAGTACAGTGGCATTGGCTGGCGTGCAATTAGGCACTACGGCCAGCTTTGACTGATGTGTAGGCACAGTGAGTGGGTGAGGTGGTGAAGGGTGACGAGGGACTGATTTGGAAGAACGGCATCACAGCCGAAGGAGGGGCCGTCTGTCTAGAGTACAGCGACTGAATTGCTCAAAGACTTGTTCGTGTGGATCACCTCGGGTGAGTTTGGAGAGGGCTAAATGGACGGACGATATTAGAGAAATTAGTACCAGTGTTGAGTCACCTGTGTTCTGCCAATGAGGTTGTGTTTTAGGGTAGACACATTTACATTGACTCTCCGTGCAAATTATTACTCAAAACACATGGTACGGGTGTGTTTCAAGGGAGTGACAAAAGAAGCATGGACTTACAACTGGAGTGATGTAGAATCTTCGTTCACTGGAGTTTCGAATGATGGCGGGCTGGCTGCCATTCTCACTACGCGTCTTTCTCTCAGGCAGCAGCAACTGCTGCTTGTCCGGTGGCATGAGTCTGACTGGGCAATAAGAGTTCCTCCGTGCCAAGTTGGGCACTTTCCCGTTTACCATGAGAGTTTGCAGACCCTCAGAGGAGCGACTACTGTTGTTGGTAGATGCAGTGATTCTCTGTGTCCTACCCTCGTCGATTTCTCCTCCCTCATTCACCGCCTTCTTCACTTCCTCCCCCTCTCCCTCCTCATCTTGGGTTTCCACTTCGTTAATTTGAAGTCTTGGCGGCGTGGCAATCAGGGTGGTGTGGACGTCTTCGTCGGGGTTCGAAGGACCTTCCTCCAGCAGAATTGGAGACGGTTGAAGGAAGGCGAAGTTGGTCGATGTGGAATCTGTCTCGTCTGTGTCGAAGGCGTCATTCGTCACCTGATGGTGGTGGTGGTGGTGCTGATACTGTCCAACCGCCAAGTTCGACTGAACCTGGCCTGCGCTGCATCGCCGGGAGAAGAGAATATTCAGCTTGTTCAACGGACTGAATGTTTGGCGACGGTAGGAGTTCAGCGGCAAAACGCCATAGCTACAATTCAGCGAATCAGCAAATTTTGCATCAAATTTACCTCGAAAACTTCAGACAATCGTTCAAGTAGCGTTTATTAAAACCTAATCCATATTATTGATCCGTTAGTTCCCTCTAACTTATCTCTCAGGAATCATGATCGTCATTGATTGGTGTTTGAACACACGATCCATTTTGTCACCAGTATAAATGAAGAATCGATTCGAAACCGGATGATTTCATTGGGTTAGAGGTGCACTCAACAGACCAGGAAGGTGTAAAATGCGGCCTCAATGTTCGTTATCACAAACCTTGCTTAAACCACCCCAAAATCGTCTATTTTATTCTATTAAAGTATAATTTTTTGTCATCACTTTTGACTCATTTCTCGTAAACGACCTGCCATATCCGTTATTGATTAAGGGACCTTTTTACTCAGTCATTTTGAGCCACCTGAATTACCCATTTTGGTCATATTATGCATTGTCGCAAATTGACACACGAATTACGATGAGCCAGTGGGAGTAACGCGCGTAAACGATTCGGTGTGCATGTCATTTTCAAAACGTGGAAACTTCAAAGCTGCAAGACTTAGCAAATTGAGCATGTCTGATTTCCAAAAATAACCTTTACTGTAAAGTCAGCAATATCACGAAAGTCGAACCGAGTCAGTATCAACTTTAGTTTAAATCTACTAACTGGATCCGAGCAAATTCTCTATTCTGTTTGAAAGTGTTCACTTTCACGGGATTGCACGGGTTCCAATATTCTCATAAATTCCGGTTTTCGAATATAGCGATAAAATTTCATCTTCGCTGGTATCGTAACTGCCATTGATTCTCTCTTTAGCACGAAACTATTCTGCTAATGAGTGTTTTTTAAAGAAGAAAAAAAATAGTAGTTCTTTTTCATCGCAGGTGTTGAAATGGCAGTAGTTGTTGGTGTTATTTAATAGGCAAGGAATGCACAATCATTCGCCGTCACGTGCATTACCAATGGTTGAGTAAACAGGGCATCCAAGAAAAAGTTCCCTTTGCAACAAAAAAGGCCTGCTACATTAGCAGTTTGGCTGACTTCCTATCAACAACTTTTCTGATTAAATGGCAAGGAATTCAAGCTATTTGCGAAGAACAGTTTCATGCTTGCATAACCTGAAGCAGTGGCATGTGATCGGATTCAAGAAAGCAGGCACAAAAAAGATTTTAGCGTCCAGTTACCTAAGTGAGCCTTTGTGTGAAGATGAGTATGCGGACGTAACAAGCAGCCAATGAAAATTGGGATATGTCATTAAAATCAATAATTCTGTGAGGCGGGTTCGCTCACCCACAATCCCTGATGGTTCACCAATACAGCAATGATCATAGGGGGTTGGTTCCTTGAGCAAGTGATTCATTAGAGTACTCAACGAATGGAACGCGTCAATTAGCAAATGTCATGGCTACATTAGAAAAATCTTTGGAAGAACCTGCAGAGTCATTGGAGCAAACTGACGGTCGACTAACCACATCGATGTCTCATTTCGAAGCGATCGACTATGATTACAGCTCACTTGCCACTGGTTTGCCCGCAATTACTTATCGATTGACATACACACCGCTTAAACTTGCATTCATGCACAGACATTGTACACGACAATTTCGACCAATCAAATTACAATAACCTGAGCACCCAATGAGTACCACTTTGAGAGGAATGTCCACAAGAACAGAGCAGCGCGGAACTGTCACGCAATGAGCCAGTTGCATTTTAATCTACCAGCATTTTAAACACACACACACACATACACGAAATTATGTTTGTAGGTGTCCGGTTTGTGGCATAAATCAGCTGAATTTGCGGTTTGAATGGAAGTAACGCTTATCGCACCTCCGCACGCACTTATGTTATCGCCCAACGCACCTCGAAATTCACCAATTCCCATTGAGTTAAATTTTTCCAGGCATCAGTGCTCCATTCGAAAACTCGAAAAAAAACATTCACTTATCACTAACGTCTTTTCCATCATTTTGAATTCATTTTCTGCAAGATTCTGCTTGGTGTCTATCCAAAGAATGTCACAAGGTAGCTTTCCAACTTTAAACACGAAAGCAAATATTTGCGAATCAAAAACGGATAATAATATGAGGAAGCTGGATCATGGGAATACGCAGGGAGCAGTTTAAAAATTTTCCGATTTCGCAAGTTTTTCTTGGAATTCCGCAGTGAGTTGGGTGAGTCGATCACATAACTCCTTCGCATCTCATGTCAGACCACGGAGAAGGTCAAAAGC